TACGTAGTCGTTTGCATGAGGGTGTAAGGGTGAGAAAGTCTTTTCACCACGTATAACCCTAGTAGTCCATGGGAATAGGGTATATATTGATCTCTTCGTTGTAATCGGCCGTACATTGAATGAAAAAGCTTGAGAGAGCTAATCTTCTCCGTGGAGTAAGCCTAATTCACACTGAATGGGACGAACCACGTAAAACTCGTGTCTTGCGTCATTTACTTTCTCGTACAGAAATCTTTCAGAGCACTTCTACTATGCTATATAGTATTGGTGCTTTAATGTACAACTCAAAGTTGTACCATAACATTAAATGTATAAGTTTAGGTTGTACCATAAAGCAATTTGTACTATTATGTTATGGTACAACTTTACAACTTGAAGTTGTATCATCACATAAATGTACAAGTTCAAGTTGTACCATAAAAGAATTTGTACAAAAAGTATAGGTACAATCTGAAGTTGTACCATAACATAAATGTACAATTTTAAATTGTACCATCAAAACAAAAACCTATAGCACCAATACTATATAGCATTGTAAAATTTCTCTTGCTACAAATGAAAGCATCAAAAGCGTAAAGGAAAAGATAAACTACAAGTTTTGGATTTGAAAATCCTTACTACATTGTAGAAAATTGCTACCACTCTTGCTATATATTCCGAGCAAACAATAGACATGAAAAAGTTACATTTCATAAATCCAAAAGTGACGCGAAGGCCTCCATATCAGAGTACACATACATAGCAGGAAGCAAGACTATACACTCCAAAATTCAATAAGAACAATATTGATGAGAAGAAACACTACTATGTTCTATGTAAATGATTTGACAGTACGACCTTCACAAACAATGAAAATCGCTACTAATTTTGAGAATAACTATGAGCAAACAAGAGCAAGAAACAAGACGGATTTTAAAATCCAAAAATCGATCCAAAAGGCCCTCTATAACAGAGCATACATAGCAACTACCATCACCAACCAAGACCACCAACGAACAAATCAAGATAGTCAAAGGAGTCAAAGGAAGTTATATGTATACGTAGACAGGCAAAGAAATAAGAGCGCAGCGAATCTAACTGAAGCAGAGACACAAACGATAAGAGGGTGGCGAAGTCAAGGGAGACGACGGCAAGAGCGGCGACGGTGGCGATCACAACAACGACGAGGCCGACGATTGTCCAGATGGATTGGTTGGAGATTGAAAGAGAGAGAGAGGACCTGGGAGAAAATGGGGGAAAAGAAATAGACGAAAAAGAAGCTTCAGTTGTTGGATTTCTTCCCAAAACCCCTACACGCTTATTTCCGAGGCTGGGATCACATGTGTTCTTGCCAAAAATACCCCTATTGATAGGGCTGGGAATCCGGAAACCGTAATCCCAATAACCCAATTCAATTGGAGGTTGCTTGTTGTCTGGGAAAAAACGGCCCGGTCCGGTTTAAAATCAGGAAACTGTTTAAAACTGGATGGGTCCAACCCACTAAATTATTACTAACTAACCAGGCCCATTTCTTATGAAGCCCAACACAAAATTACCCAACCCACTAACCCACCCAGGCAGTCCAGCAGACCAGCACAACAAGGGGGAAAACCCTAATCGCCTAATGCCCTAATCGCCGTCCCCTTCCAATTTCCATTTCCATCTGCGCAGCTGAAGACTGAAGTGCTCTCGCCTCTGCTCTATCCCTCGACAGCGACGACGAGGCAAACAGCTGGCGACGACGAGGCAAACGACGGCGCCGTCATCTCCCTTCGATCTCCGTTCGTTCGAGAGCAGTCCGCAGTCGATCTCCCCTGTCTCCTGTACATCTCCCTTCGAGCGCCATCATCTCACCCCTCACCAGACTCAATCGACGAGCCGACGACACCTCCAGACTCCGGTGAGCTGCGACGACCTCGGTCGTTTGGTGGGGTTTCCGGTCAAAACGGTTTTCCGGTCAAAACCGGACAAAACCGTGTCTCATCCAATCCGGTTTGGTTTAAACCGTGTCCCAGTCCAATCCCGTCCACGGTTGGGCATAAGTCCAATCCGGTCATAAAAAACCGGGTCAATTCGGTCCGGTTTAAACCGAACTGGATTGTTTTCCAGCCCTGCCTACTGCCATAATCCCCCTTGGATTGACAGAAATATAAAGGAAGGGAGATGAATGGGGTTAGTACGGTGCTAACATATTAGTTGGTTAGCAAGCCATCTCATCCTCACGAAAAAGTATCTTGCAGAAAAAATTTAATTTTCACCAATATCTCATGAATTGTGAAAAGTAGCAATGAACTGATTTCTAATCAGTTGTAAATTATAGTATCAATATGTTTCTTTGGGCCACCTACAATATCAATACGATTCTTTTATGGAGCAAATATTATATATTGCAAGGAATCATTCACTTTAGATGTACGCATTTGAGTTTCACAAGTTAGACATCTAAATTTCACAATATATGCGTGTACTTGACCATTTTCCCTCCATCTAAAGCATGTTGTTCATTTTCTTGTGTTATTGACACAAACAGTCACATATTTTTGGGTTACTAACAAAATGGTCACTTATATTTTTTTACAAAGGAGTGATTTCATTTTGCACTACTAACTAACAAAATGATCATTCCATTAATTTCCATTCATATGCCAATCTATTGTGTCCTAATCAACATGTCACACTCACGTCTATTGATAACAAAATGACCATTATTCCATTAATTTCCATTCAAATATAGTCACATATATATGTGGGTTACTAACAAAAATGACCATTCCATTAGTTTAACATATATATTCACTATCTTTCTTTCTCGTGGTAAGCTTCCCTTTTCCTTGTTGTCGCCGGTCACTATCTAATCGGAAACTTGCAGAGGGCTGCGTCGTGGTTGCATGCTAGATGCTACATGCAAGGGTGCCGAGAAGGCGGCTTAGTGTCATGGAACCTCGTCGGGGGAGAATTTATCTCGGATAATTTTATCTAGTACAGGTCAAATTTGTCTCAAAACAATAAGAAGTGGTAATGATGGAGAATTTATCTCGGATAATTTTAGTAAACTTTGGGATGAAAAAGAAATTAATCACACGTTTTTTGGTTCACGAACTCCTCATCGAGATGGAGTTGTGGGACAATCATTGAAACTGCTCGCAAACTATGCTATTAGAATACAATCGAGCTAAGCATTTGTTTGGGGGAATGGTTAATTAGTAGGGGTGGCTAAACGGTCCGGTCCGGTTAAATTGGCCCAAATTGATCCGGTCCAGTCCGGTCTTTTTGAAAATATAAGGACCGAAAATTGGATTGGATACAGTCCGGTCTTGATCCGGTCCGGTTTTGATCCGGTCCGGTCCCAATTCGGTCTTGATTTTACATTGAGATTGTGGGATTTGAGTGGCCTAAGGCCTTAAAGGGTGAGGAGTTGGTTAAGTTTTGTACTAAGTGCAAAGGTTTGTGACCGTTTATGCAAATTACCCTTAAGTTTTGGGCGTTGAGCTCTCTTATCCGGTTTTTACCTCAAATCTAAGCCCAAAGATTGGATTGGATTGTTTAATATCCGGTCCCGGTCCGGTCTCGGTCCGGGTTATACGGTCCGGTTTCCGGTTTTTAATCCGGTCCCGGTCCAAATAGCCACCCCTATTAATTAGTACGACTTGTTACGTAATTAACATGGCCATTATAATATATGCAGTACTATAATAATATTTTTTTTTTGGTAGAAAAAGGGACGCTAAAGGGCGCCCCTGCCTGAAATTAAATTAATCGATCCTGGGTAATCCCCATAGTGTCATACAAGATCCAAAACTTGAGACCCGAGTCCGAAATATCGAAAGAATGAGTGCCAAGGCTAAACCCATGGGCTTTATTAGCTAAGTAGTCTGCCGCTTTGTTGCATTCGCGGTAAGAGTGGGAGAGATGAACCTCCCAGTTACGCTGTAGCAGGTTCTGAAAACGCCTAGTGAGGTTGTGATACCGCCTGCTATCTCGATCCTTTCCTGTTAAAATGGCCAGCGCTGCAGTAGAGTCAATGTGGATGAGTACCTTCCTGTGACCTTGATCCCAAGCGAGTTGGAGTCCAGTGAGCGCCCCGACGATCTCCGCCCTTGTGATGGAGCAGCTTCCTAAGTTGGTGACGAAGGCTCCCACACATCGGCCAAGATGATTGCGGAGCAAGCCACCTGCAGCTGCCGCCGAGTTTGGGTGTTTGACAGACCCGTCAGAGTTGATAACAATCCAATCTGCAGGTGGTGGTTGCCATGCCAGTTCTTGTCTTGTTTTGTCCCCCGTCGTGTCGACGAGAAGCTGCCGATTATTGTCTTGTGCTTGCTTGATAACTGCAGCCCACGCTCGGATCCGATGCACCAGGATTTCCGATTCTTGAAATTTCTTCTCAAAGATCCAATCGTTCCTTCTTCTCCACAGTAACCAGGCCGCCACTCCAAACAACAGGTTTGTCCCTTCTTTCTTCAAATTGGTCGCCATCCAACCTGCAAAGTTCAAACCGTGTGTAAGGGGGGTCTCTATTAAGCCAAGGCGTTGCCATACCTGAGCTGCCAAGGGGCAGATTCTGATGACGTGCTCTGTCATTTCTGGTCCTGACTTGCAGAACTCGCATGTGTCGGTGTCCCCAAAATTCCTCCGCTTTCTCTCGCTATTTGTCATGAGGCGATTATGTAGGCAAAGCCAGAGGAAATGTCTTAATCGATTTGGTCCTGGCCACTTCCAGGCGCTTATCCACTTGGTGTGGTTGCCCTCAGCAGCATCTCCATGGTTATTTTCCTGCAGCCATTCCACCGCCACCTTGTACGCACTACCAATTCGAAATCTGCCGTCACTTTCTTGTCCCCATATGATTGTGTCATCCCCTGCTTCTTGGAGGGGGGTATCAGTACCTGCAAGAAGAGAAAGAAACGTGTCAGGGAGGTGATTTTTGATAGTTCCCCAATTCCACTCACCTGATGAATCCACCATCTCCGCAACTGAGCTGTCCCACTCGACGGTGTGTTCATTGGTGACAACATGGTCCTTCAACGCCAGGCCAGCCGAAATCCAATGGTCTTTCCAGAAATTGACGCTCTACCATCCCTAATGTCCCAGATGGTGTTCTGTTTCAGAAGAGGTAGGGCATCCTTGATCCCCTTCCAGAGCCGAGAGACCCGCTGCTGGCGGAATGCCACGCTGCCATCATCGTTCTGCTTAACGTATTTTGCATGAAGTACCCTGACCCAGAGACTCTCGTCGTTGTTCAGGAATTGCCAACCCAGCTTCATTAGGTATGCCAAGTTCAGAGCTCTAGCTGAGCGAAGGCCAAGTCCGCCCTCTTCTTTAGACTTGCAGATTCTCTCCCATGTGACAAGGTGTGCCTTATCCTTGCCATTATCTCTTCCCCAAACAAACCCTCTGATCTTCTTATCGATCTGATCACAGACATTGCAGGGCAAGACGGCAGTTTGCATGGTGTAGTTCGGGAGCGCATTGAGTACCGAGGTAGCCAATGTAACCCTTCCTGCTAGCGACAGGCTTTTGGTTTTCCAGCTCGCAAGCCTTCTATCTATATTCTCGAGGATATACTTGTAGGTTTCCTTCGTTACGCGCCCGTGGATAACTGGAACACCCAAATACTTGCCCAGATTGGAAGTACGTGGGATCCCCATTAGGCCACTTAGCCTGTTCTTGGTTCTTTCCTTAGTATTCCTTGAGAAATAGACTCGCGACTTCTCTTTGCTGACTTTTTCCCCAGACGCTGAACAAAATTGATCCAAACAACTCATCACCACCCTGGCTTGATTGGCATCCGCCTCGGCTAGGAGTACAAGGTCATCTGCAAAGAATAAATGGGTTAGGGGTGGTCCATTTTTAGATAAGCAGATCGGTTTCCATTTACCACACTCCACAGATTTTTTAATATTATGATTTAGACGTTCCATGCATAAAGTAAAAAGATATGGGGAGAGAGGACATCCCTGTCTGAGACCACGAGTTGGTTTGAACTCCTCGGTGCAGCTACCATTCCACAGGACCTGGAAACTGGCTGTCGTGACACAGGCCATGACAAGAGATATGAATTCCTGGGGAAAACCTGCAGCTTCGAGGGTAGACAGGAGGAAGCTCCAACTAATCCTGTCGTATGCCTTAGCCAAATCTATTTTCAGCACCATCAAACCCTTCACACCCTTCAATTGGTTCATAGTGTGGATGATCTCTTGCAGGATGATGATGTTGCTGGTTATGTGGCGTTTGGGAACGAAGCTGGTTTGGTTCTCATCAACTAAATCCGGCATCAGCAACTTAAGGCGGTCAGCCAGGCATTTCGCAACGATCTTGTAGCTGACATTACATAACCCAATAGGTCTGAATTGAGGCATATTACTCGGGCTGTCCACCTTAGGCAACAAAGTGAGCAGTGTTGAGTTGCACCTTCTGATAGACTTGGGTTCCTGGAAACATCTAGCTATAAAGTCCCGGAGCTCGGCTTGAATGGTATTCCAGCAGCGTTTGTAAAAGATGGCATGGAAACCATCTTTACCAGGCGCTTTCAAGCTTCCCATGTTCCTGATGATGCTACGGATTTCTTCCACTGTAGGGACGGAAGCTAGCCTGCTGAGAGAGTTGGCCTCTGGAATCCTGAAATCTGCACAGAAATTCTGGGCTGTATCAGTTTCTGCAGTAAATAGCTCTATGTAGAAATCACGAGACATTTTCTGCAGAGTGTCCTGATCCTCAATCCAAGCGCCCTCGTTATTTTGCAGCTTTAAGATCTTGTTCCTTCTTCTCCGGGCGATGGTGGAAGAGTGGAAGAAAGGGGTGTTGCTGTCACCATTGTTGATCCAATTATCTCTAGATTTCTGAAGCCAAAGCAGTTCTTCCTGCCAAAGGGTTTTTTCCAATTCTTCCCTGACTCTAGTTTCCTCTTGCAAAGACCTAGGGTTGGGGTGTCGATCATTGATGAGCTCCCATCTGGCCAACTTATTCGACAAGGCTCTTTTCCTCTTAAAGATATTGCCGAAGACGTTTTTGTTCCACGTCTGCAGCGCCTCTTGAAAGTCGATGAGGCTTAAGTTGAAATCTCTCCCCCGAGTCCAGGCTGAGTCAATTGTGCTTGGGAAAGACTCATGGCAGAGCCAAGCTGCTAAGAATCGGAACGGTCTTTTCTTGCGAGGGCTGGGCTGGTCCATCGAGCTCCGAACGAGAACAGGCCGGTGGTCTGAGCGGACTCGAGGAAGGTGAGTATTCGAAGTTTCTGGGAAACAATCGAGCCAGTCCCTGTTGCAAAGGGCACGATCAAGGCGCTGCGACAGTCTTCCATTGGTCCAGGTAAACCGTGGACCTGTAAAGCCCACATCGATCAGATTGCAATCACTGATACACTCGTTGAAGTGGGTAGTTCTCTGGGAATTGAAACCAGCGCCTCCCTGCCGATCCGAGGCACTGCAGATAGAGTTGAAATCCCCAACTAAAAGCCACGGGCTCTTCATATTCTGTTCAATGTGCCGAAGGGAATCCCAAAGAGGGCGACGGTCGTGGTCATTCGGTTTGGCATATATGGCTGTTAGTTCAACAGTACGATTAACCTGCAAGTCAACACAACGAAAGTGAAAGAACTGCGGGCCTTTATCCAATTCTGTAATTAAGAAATCAGCAGAGTTCCAAAGAACCCAAATACCCCCAGAGAAGCCAATGGCATCGACTTTCTTGAAACAGTCAAACCCCATTTTGGCAATCACCGCATCCGCATCTTTACCACTAGTCCTAGGCTCTACGATGAACACAATATTGGGTCTAAAAGCAAGCATGTAATCCTTGAAAACAGAGAGAAATTTGGGGCTTTTAGCCCCACGACAGTTCCAGCTAAGGATACTAAACATTGAGAAAGAAGGGAAGGTGGGGAGGGACTCCCTGTTAGATTGCGCTAGTAGGCGCTGGCGGGGCCTTTTGCTCTGATTCCGTTGCCCGAGCCTCACTGGGGGCCACGCTATCTTCCATTCTGACATAATTTGCCAGGGTAGCCGAGGCGGTTGCGAACTCTTCCGCTTTCTGCTTGGACTATCGAAGGAAGGTGTCTATGTCCCGCTGGGTAATGGGGAAGGTGTTCTCTTGAACCAACTGGTGCATTTCGCGCTTCGATCCGGCGGGATTGTGGATTTGTTTTTTCGCCACTTTCAGGTGGCGATCGATGTTCTTCCCACCGCCAGGAGAGCCGGTGGTGTTTCTCTTGTCGAAATGCTGCCTGACCGAATGAGTTTGCACATTTGGGTCTATGTTTTCCTTCAATTGAGTTGTCGGGCTTTCCTTCCCCACACATGGGCTTCCAGAGTTGTTCCCCGAAGTCTGTCCGACAAGGCCTGTTAGAAGTGGGCTTAGGGTAAGCGGCCCAGGCCTGGTTGCTAGGTTTGGGGCATTAACGGACGCCTTAGCCTCTCCTACAGGGATCCATTCTTTCAGGCCGTTGGTAGCTTTCCTGTTGGCTTGCGCAGTCTTACCATCCTCTGTTGTGATTTTCCCCTTCTGATTATCCGACTTTCCTTTCTTGTTTTCCGTCTTGAGGTTCCCCTTTCCTTTTCCATCGTTGGCGTTGATATTGCCGAGATTAGCACCCTTGGATGATCCCAGATTCTTTGCCATCTGTTTGCCATGATTGGCTGGCTTTTCCTGCTGATTTCCTTTTTGGGATCCTTGACTTTCGCTGGCTTTCCTGGTTGGTTTGCGAGATTTTCGCGTCACCTGCATCCAAGGTCCATAGCCGGCCGGCGGCTCAGCCGGCGAGTCGATGTTAACGCCGGCGTTTGCTGGGTGTGAAATCGCCACTGAGCTTGATTCTACAGCACAGCTGTTCAACTTCATTGGGCAGGTCTCTTCCGTGTGTCCGATTCTACCACAATCGAAACAGATTTGCGGAAGGTTCTCATACAGAACTTGTTGCCAGAATCCGTCCAATCGGATGCGAGTCGGGAGTGGTTTCGTCATGTCTAGTTCAACTGCGATCCTAGCAAATTTTCCCCTTTCGAGCATTTCTGTGTGGTAGTCCAGCTTCACGGTTCTGCCTATGAGATTTCCTAGGGCGAACAAAACTTCCCGGTGGTAGAAGTGGACAGGGAGTTCCGGCAATTGAATCCAAGCGGTGACTGATTTGTGGATCTTGTCGGAGGTCCTGAATTTTGGTGACCAGGGGTGTACAACGAGGTAGTGGTCGAGGATTTCCCATGGTCCACCCGTTAAAGCCTTGAGGTAATCTTGATCATTTGAGAAGGTTACCAGGAAAGTTTCGTTGTTCAGATCCATGATGTCCATTGACCCGGTCGGGCGCTATTTCCATTTGAGCTGAGAACACAGGTAGTTGTATGAAACCGATCGACCAAGCAATCTGATGACTAGTGTCTTCTTCCACGGGTTGCAGAGCCTTTCTTTGAAGTTATCCGAGATTTTCAGTTCCGGCTCCCCTGCGAAAGAGCCAGCCACCAGATCCTGTTCGCCAACAAAGGTCCATCGATTGGCAGTGGTTCTTGAGTCACGCCCTTGTCCCTCTAGTGCTGATTTGTAGTTCAGCGGCGGAAAGTTGGTCGGGTTTGCCAGAGGCGTTGCAGTGGTCGCGGCGGGCGTCATTGATTTGGCTGTGGGCGTTGCGGAGGGGTCCTGAGGGGTGATGACATCCGGCGGGCGGCCAGCTTGGGAGGCCGTCGGTGTCGAGGACGGAATGACGGGATGCGATTCAGAGAGCATCAGAGAGCATTATTTGTCATCTTCTCTGGTAAGGGTAAGAAGAGTTGTACTTGAATCCGTACTATAATAATATATTGGTATGATTATGATATGAAAGCGTTACACTGAAAATTACCATATAGTATGATGTGTTACCACGACGGTGGGATTATGCAGATTAGGGTTTTTCTCGTCGGAGGTTCCTGTATTCCTTTTTGGAATGGGAAATATGTAACGGAAGGAACCGATCTTCTATATATATATATATATATATATATATATATATATCTATGTCTACTCTTGTTTCCATCTCTACTCTTGTAGAGTTCTAGCTTATCACCATGGCCGAGGAGCCGCCGCCTCAGCGCGACTGGACGCACCTGCCCGGCTTGCTTCTCGACGGCATCATGCGCCGGTCAGCCAAACTACCGGACTTCATCCGCTTCCAAGCCGTTTGCAAGCCGTGGAGACAAGCCCTCCTCCTCAGCCAGCCGGCCGAACTACAAAACCCGCACAAGTTCCGCCAGTCCCTGCCGTGGCTGATCTTGCCGTGCGATAAACCTGACACGGCCGACTGCCGCGGCCACGACTGCCACCACTTCGTCGACGTGGCGGCGGAAGGCAACAACAAGTGCCGCCGCCTACACGTCGATTTAGCCAGAGGCCAGTATACGTACCCGCAGTGTCTCGGCTCGGCTTTCGGGTGGCTGCTCATTCAAGAACTGTGGTGGCCGCACCCGCTTGTTCTCTACCTGTTGAACCCCTTGACTCGAGCCAAGATCCGCCTCATCAACAAAATCCGCCATGGTGGCGGCGACTTCAGGTAGCCAATGCAGTCAAAAATCGTGATCCTATAATAGCATCCAAATTGATATTTTATTTTCAATTGCAATTTCAAGATGATATGATATGATATGGGTGTTTGCAATTGCAAAACAATTGCATTGATGTGGCTACCAATTACATATTTGCAAGCTTGCAACAGATGCAATTGCATATGCAAGTCAAAAACACCAAAAAAAATAGAAGATTTTTATTTTATTTTATATTATATTATTTTCTCTTTTACTCTATTTTCTATAATTTAAACATAATATGTAATTCCATATGCAATTTCAAGTGGATTGCATCGACGTAGGTGAAATGACATTCCTATGAGTTGGATTGCAAAAATATTGAGGCGAAAAAAAGTAGATTTTAACCTTTAAAAGTAGATTTTATCTAAAATTGTAACGGAAAAGTGCGATGTCTAATGCAGTCAAAATTGTGATTCTACCAAGAAACGTTTAGATACAATGTAGATTTTGACTAATATTATAACTAAACAGTGCGATTCTTAGGTTTTAAACCACGATTTTGATTTCATGCAGGTTCCTAACCCAAGAAGAACGTATCTTTAACGGGTTTCTAATGTCGGCCGAGCCCGCGGAAGGGTCGTGCGACGTCGTTGTAGTGACCAGCACGTACGGAAGCGGCGAGAGCGGCTTAGTGTTATGGAAGCTCACCGGCAGCGGCGGCAGGGATGAGGATGATGATGATCAGTAGCATCATCAAGAATGCACGCTAGTCGCTTTCGACTCCTTTGTGGGCGGTGATCAAAGGTTCACTCACAGCCGCTACAAAGCCGTGCTTTGGAGGGACAAGGTCTACGTCTTTTGCACCGCGGATGGAAGGGTTTTGGCCTGCTAGTGATTTTTGCTAGTTATCACGGTGCTAACCGAGTTAGCACCTAATCCCATCCCGATGGGTTGAGGTCGAAAGCATAGGCGATTACGCTCTGTTCGCGGATGCGCATAACGTCGTTTGCGTGCCTGTTCGTTCGGAGTGCAGGAGGAACTGTGTTTATTACGGGCGCGATGTGTACGAGCTCGACTCCGATGATCAGCTTCTGGTTCGCGTGTCGGATTTGGGTGATGTGCCGGACTGTCTTATATGGATTACGCCATCTACTTATTAGCTTTATGAAGTTGTTGTCCAACCTTGTGACCGATAATGGAGTACATATCGGATTGTTGCTAAATGTGGAGCTTAATAGAGAACTCTGAACCATCATGGAGTGCGTTAACTTACATTACCATCATCCAAAAAAAAGAAACAAAAAGAAAAGAATAAGCAGAGCAGCAAAAATCTTCCACAGTAGTGAAAAATCAAGAGATAAGAAGAAGAAAAAAAAAGAACAATGCAGTCTACTATACTATATCATGATACAACATCGATCAGTAACAAGTAACAACAGCCCACTTACAGATGTAGATGGGGAAGGCAGGAAGGCAGGCATTCTGCAAATATCTATAGCCGTCTTCACCAATTCAGTGATCTCTTGCATCAAATGGCAAAACCTGTACTTCTTCTCCAGGAGTCATTCCTTCTCCATCTTTTTTTCATATTCCTTTTTTAATCAATAATTTAGCGAGCGACGATTGGCTCGATAACGCATGGTTAATGAGTGATTACCACACGTCACGCAGGTAGCGACCATTCATTTGCAGGTTCTTCACCAAGCTCTCTGCCTTGGATGAGTCGAGCGATCCCTGGTTCACAAAAGAAGCAGAGTTAGTGATTCAGCGATGAGAAATATATGCGCACAGGCATGACTCGTGGCGCTCTAGTAACAAAGAATTCCATGTATATTGAAGATATGATTATTTGTAAAGATGATTGGATTGACAGAAACCGTGTAGCCCAGAAATCACAGAATCATTTGTACCTGCTCAATTGCAATGGTGTGGAGAGTTCGATGAACGTCTCTGGCCATGCCTTTGGCATCACCACATACGTAAACATAGGCGCCCTGAGAGATCAGGTTCCAGATTTCCGAAGCCTGGACCAGAAAGATGATGAGGTGAGACAACGATTTCGCAGCCGATACCAACAAGAACAGAAAAGTAGTGATCATTGCACAAAAGCCACAAAAGAGAGGATTTACCTTCTGCATCATTTTGTGCTGCACATACTCTTTGGTAGATCCTTCCCTCGAGAAGGCAACGTTCAGCTCAGAGAGTGCACCGGTTTCGACGAAATTGTTGAGTTCATTCTCGTATATGAAATCCTATACACATGAATTTCAGACCATGAGATCATCAGACCACGAATAATTACAGCGAAACCCATTCACCAGAATCCATGGAAACAGCAGCTTACCGTCTTACGGTTTCTGCAACCAAAGAAGAAGATAGAGGTCCCAAGTTCTGCTCCGGATTCTTTGAGTGCTAGTCTTTCCTGCAGGAAGCCCCGGAAAGGAGCCAGTCCAGTCCCAGGACCAATCATTATGATGGGAACTTTGGTATCTGCAGGAAGTCTGAAATTCGATTGCCGAATGAAAATGGGGGCCCAACTGCAGTCTTGGCTCTTCTCCATAGGAGCAGCATTCTGCACGATACATGGTGAATGATTACCATCTGCCTCTCTATCCACTGGCATCCAGTCAGGAAAATAGAACAGAAAGCTAGGCAAACACGCGATAGAAAATAGTACATACCCTCATCCAAGTTGAGCACACTCCCTTGTGAAGCCGTCCTCCTGGAGTTTTCTCAAGCACCAGAGCACAAGTCACGTGGATTCTAGATGGTGCCATCCTGTTAGAAATCAATTGTTGATGATCAGTACATAAGAGTTTAAATAGACTAGAAAAGAACAATAGATAATTGACGGGGAAAAGAAAAGGGTAAAACTATGCTCACCTAGGAGATGAAGAGATAGAATAGAATCGAGGCTGCAAGCGAGGAGCAACTCCAGCAAAGAAAACACCGAGTGGAGGCTTTGCAGAGGGAAATGCAGCCATGACCTCAAGGAGACTTCTCTGTTCTGCAACTACCCATTTTGCATATTCATCCTGTAGAATGGTAAAAGAAAAGAGAATTGACTGTTAACTTACCTATTAAACCATACAAGTGATAAAATCACCTAAAGTCCTGTGTAAGAAAATCAGTACCTTGCCAGCAGGTGACGCGAGATATCTCAATCTATCGGCTTCAGTAGGATCATTAGCATGAGCTGCTAAAGCAAGCAAAGCAGACTGGAAATGGAAGAGGAACAATTTCTTAGAGAAGAGCTTCAATCAGCTTGGCAAAAGAGCAGAAACATGAAAGAATGGTAGAAGTATTCTAACCTTTTTGGGAGCATTCAAAAGATCGGCATATCGAGTCAGAGCTGTTCTCAAGGTGCACGGTGGGAATGGTGTTGGCAATGAGCTTCCACTGAGTGGTGTCCCGTCCTCTTTATTGGAATGGACTGAGAAGTATGTGTCGGGGGACAAACCTAACAACTGCAGTGCCTCTTCTACAACCTCCTCGACATTCTCAGAGTACACACCAACATGATCCCCAGTTTCATATCTGAGAAACAAACTCAGTGATGAGCGTTTGTGTGATGTTTAAAACAGAACAAATATATTACATCTTTAAAAACACCATCGACTTACGAGAGTCCAGTGCCAGCAATGTCGAATTCCAAATGTGTGCAAGATCGGTCAGAAAGAGGAGTGTGAAGCTCTTTCCTCACAGCAACATTAGACCTGTAATTCAGTAGATGTTTATGTTAGACTGAGAAACTACACACAGCAAAAACGTAAAAGCACAGGCAGCGAAACATCAATGTATGAACCTGCATGGATGTTGTGCATCATAGACAGCGTGGCCATTGGCACCATTCCAGCTTTTGTCTTCTACTGGTGCATCAGTGGAGTCATAGAACACAACCCGGTATTCCAACACCGCAGCAGTATACGGGGTGGTTGCAGATGATTGATCATCCTCATCAAGAAGCAAACCATCGAGCTCTGGCCATACCAACTCTTTCCTGCCATCAAGAGAAGAAGGCATATCAGAATTTTACCATCTGGAAATAGTTCTTGGCGCAATAATGAAGACTACTAAGTAAGCTCACTCACCAAGCAGAAAAGTCGTCTTCCATGCATTGATCATCATCTCCTAGACCCACAGGAGCAATGCGCTTGCCACCTGGACAATGCAAAGAGTTACCACCATCAGTCGCATGATATCAATCTTCCATAACCTAAATTTAGTTCTCATTACAAGCTTCATTAAACGGTTCAGTCCACGAGAAGCACCCAATTAGCTAACAGCACTATATATATCATATTGTGTACCAGATTCCATAAACTACTCAATGTTCTAGTTCCCCATCATTTAACTATACAAAGGAACTCCATTTCTATGCGAAACCTCAAGGAAATAAAGAACTGTACCTTGTTCAGCCAGAAGATCATCCACCTCCTTAGCAATCTATAGTATCAACCAACAAATACATAAATTTAGTCAGAGTTCATCCCCGTAATAAACAGGCATCAAAACAAATTCTGAAAGGCACCCATCTCAAAACGCTCTTCAATACCTTATTAAAGTGTTCATATTGCTTATTGCCAAGACCGAACACTCCATAATTCATCTTGAGCCATTCTCCTCTGGCCTCTTTACCCTGTTGCATGCAGTCAGTCAATTTAAATTCCACCCATAGACTGAATTCAATGGCCGATTTCACTCAATCCAGCTGAAATTTTACCTCAGTAAACCACTTGTAGAACCTTGCTGCATTATCAGTCGGCTCACCATCTCCATACCTGCCCACCCAACCACCAAGCAACCCATGTTACAAAACCAGAAATTTAAATAAAAGATGGAAGCTTTAGAAAGTGGCAGAGTCAGACTATTCACTCACGTAGCGAGGAAGAAGAAAGCGATGGACTCTTTCTTGAACTTCTCCTCGTACTCATCGTCATCCCCGGCATAATCATCCTGTAACAAAACCAGAGGCCACAAAATTCAACACCACCACACAACTCGGCAATTCAGAACAAAACAGTCGAAACGAAATGGGGAAAAATTCTCTGGTTGTTCAACCCACCATGTCAACAACTTTGAATACAGCCTTCTCATACCGCGCCTTCGCCTCCTCGGCCAGAGCCTGCAACAAAAAAATTTTACCCAATTCAAATCAATACAAACCCAATCGATAAAAACCAGAGAGCTCCCATTGCGAGCTGAGATGTGTGTGTGAGAGAGAGAGAGAGAAAGGGGGGAAAACCGAAACGAAACCAACCTTGGCGAATCCTTCAGCAGTACCAGTCTGAGTACCGTAAAACACAGTGATCTTCTTCTTCCCGTCATCAACCACCACATCCTCCTCCTTCTTCTTGACAACCAACGGCGTCGGCGGCTGGTAGCTCTGCTTGGGGGAGCTGGATCTTCTCCACACCAGCACCACCACGCAACCGATCAGCACGGCCACCGTAGTCGTCAGGATCATGACGAACTCCCTATTGTCGAGGATCAGCGAGGTCACCTCCGCCGCCGCACCTCCCGACTCTGACGAAGCGTTGGACGGGTCGGCGAACTTCTTCCGGATAATTGCCGCCATCAGATCGATCGCCGATTGAGATCCCGACGACGAGGACGAGTCCATTCTAATTACCGATAATTCCTGAATTCGCTGAAGCTTGGTGGGTGGGAGTTGGTGTCCGGCGATTCAGGGGAGGAGAGAAATCTTTTGATTAGTTCAAGTCGGTTTTGTTTGGTACCAAAAAAATTTCTTTCCTGCCGAGATTGGGAGTGAAAGGTTGGGCTTTTAATAAGGCGGACTGGCGGAGGAAGGAAGGTGGAAGAAAAGAAAAAGGGAAATAAATAAATAAAATTTCTCAACGCTCACCAAACTCGACCTGGTGTCTTGGTCAGGCTCGCTCGCTCTCACTCTCACCTAACAACGAGGCGGTAACCATGGTTAGATTCTCTGGTTGGGCCTGGATGGCGCTGGCTGGGTTATGAATTTTTTTTTTTTTTTAGTTAGTGGAGTTTCCCGCAAAAACTAATTGAAAATGCGAAAAAGACTTTTGGCTGCTTTCCCCAATATGCCCTTGGTTGTCTGTTTGTTTGCCGGGAATAATCGCACGGAAATGCCTTTTGTATGTGCCGTCTTTTGTATGTATTGCTGTCCTAAAAAGGGTGACGAAAGAAATTTGGTGACTTGACTATCAACAATTTCTTCAAAGAAGAACCGCCTTTGTTTCTAAAACAACGGGCTTATGATTTTTCAAAAAAAAAAAAAAAAAAACAACGGGCTTATGACTTGTGATGGATCGCTTGTTTGTAGTATATAATTTATGAGTGATTCACTAAAATGTCCATTATTTTATCGGATATATCTTATAGTTTGTCACAAAATTAGTGGGAGATCAGCTTGTTTTGAACACTTGATCCGCTTCGGACGACGTATCTTATTCTTTTAAGTGTTGACGTGCGTTTTTTATTTTGACTTCCACTACTAGCAATGTGACTAGTAAGTATATGGCTTGCCATGTCAAGACTGAATTCCCTCATCACTTTTGTTTTTTTTTTTTCCTCTGGATAATCTCGACAACATATGAGCATTGGTTCATCTCTTACGAACGAGACTACCGACCTGCCCCGCTGCACTTGACAAATTGTTTATGAAAATTGAACTCTAACTGATAAAATGTTAATCAATCACTAACTTTAATCTTCGAGATCAAAGCTTAAATCACTTTGAGAGCTACTTACAACATTGAAAAAGGCATCTAGCTAGGTGGGTTCGACCAAACTCCTACTAGGTCGGCTTAATTAAGTTGAGTAACTATACTAACCCATTTCAAGGATGCCACGTTCCAACAATTCCCTCCATTGGACTCTTTGAGAACCAGCATTTTGATGTCGTCTTCTAGTTAGAGACATTGGTGGAAAATAGATAACTACTATATGACAAATTGACAATTAGCTAAGGTCGTGACATATATATAATGTAAATCCGATATAATTAATAGCACACAAACACTAATTAAGTTGTAATGTATAATTCACGCTTCTTTATGATATTGAATTATGATGTAGATTCTTGTAAGCACTTCATGAGGTAGCCGTAGATTTTATTCATTGACCGCAACCATCGAGAGAGTTTGGCGGTTTAAATTCTTGGTGACTTTTTGTGTGTCATGTACTTGTGTTCAATTGCGCGTAAAATAGTAGGAATCCGTCTGTATCTTTTGAATGTTAGATTACACAAATTTGGAGACCTTAAAGTATAAGAAGATATATAAATTCATGTTTACGATGTATATATATAGTCATTACGCCAATCGTGGTGTCACTCTTAGTAATATTGCATTTCATATTCAAAGCTGACTATTTAAATCTTCATAATTGGCACATACGAGAATGTTAGTTGAGGTAACCAGATTGTATTTATTAGCACAACCATTCAGAGTTCCGGCTAAAGTCTTCACTTTTTTTTATTGTGTTTCTTTTGTACTTATCCAGTTACCTTCAACAACAAAAAAAAACAATCTTACCTTTACAGGTAAGATTACACCGATTTGAAGATCCTGAAACTATTAGAGGACGTACACAAGTATTTTGTTCGATGTATCTAATTGTTGCATCGATCGAGCATGATGTCACTTAGTAATGTATTTCCAAATTAAATGCTCTATAACACAAAATGATGGAAAAGTGACGTGCATGCTACCATATGCAAGCAAACCCATATGTATATATATTATTATAAAATAACAAATTATGTTGAACAATAGCACAAATGGAATATATAGTATAATATTTTTCGATCCTAGTGTCGGCCCGCCGGCTTTGGCCAATCGGCCCCGAGTTAGCTACGACCACGAAATCAGTCATAAGCATGGACTTTGCTTCCCACGAACGTTGGTGATCAGTTGCAAAATTAAGACTCGCATTTAGCCATAAACGATGGCTGTTGTTAGTATTCTATATAAATACATGAATGAAGAACTATGGTAGATTGAGATGAGATGAGAATGATGGTGGCATCAACTACATATATTCGACGTTAGCTTTTGTATCTCGAACGTACATGATAGTCTCAACCCTTTTTACTAAACAAATATTGACCAACGGTCAGTACACATTGAAAGAACACGCGATCGATCGAATACTCGCAATTGATCACTAACAAATTTCAGCACGAATATGTACCATGCACCAGTAAGAAGATCGACCAAAACTAGTTCATTCGGATAAACTGAATTAAATTTACGAGCGATGAGATCGCGTAATTGGTTCCAAAAATGGTGCATATGGAGTGCAAATTACATAATGCCAATCCCCAATGAACAATAATGGTATTGGTGCCTTTTACTCCTCTCCCATGCAAAGACGTGGATGGCTACAGAACCACTGAAAAAGCCATAAATGCCACTTATTGCTCTCCTAACTACACAAACACACCAACTACTGATCTATAATTATTCCCACCGGAAACTTAATGAACATGGAGCAGTCTGAACTCAAAGACTGGATCATTGGCCCAAAATGTCAACGGGAGTTAATGGTCGGAAATATCACTATTGCATGCAATAGGTTATAAGGTTAATTATTATTATATGTACGTTGAAAGTTTGTGTCGACTTTAAGATGGGCAGCAGCAGTTTCGGCCAACACAGCAGCATCGATATATCTCATTACTTCATTGTTCTTGAGTTAGTTTCGACAACTCGAATTGTTTGAAAGAGGCTCAATTGTGTATTTTATACTATTTAGTAATTTCATACACATTTTGAAGACTAAAGAGGGAATGAATATCAGATGTCTCAATATAAAAATGTCTATGCGTTTGACTATATATATCACTAAGCCAAATACGGGCAAAACGGTCAAGTTCAAGTTTGGGGGTCGCGGCAGCCGGCAGGAACGCAGACTGTGCTATAAACAAATTGAAGTAGTAGGCAAGCGACAATTAATAACCACTCAGCCCCTTCCAATCGCGTATGGGATTTGGTTAAAATTTTTTACAAGTAAAGTTCAGGTCAAATTTGTGATGCAGACCCAAACCATATTCCAAGGATATATAGAGAGAGAGATTACAATGAAGGTGAGCACCAAGGTTCCCTAGTTTCAATACTATACAATATATTTTGTATGATTGATTTGAGAAAAACTAATTAAAGAAGGAAAGAGTTGGTGGTCTTTCGATTCGAAGTGAGGAGAGTATATATAATAAGAAGTAATTATATGTGTGTTTAGTCTCACATAAAAGTTTATGTTCGTGATCTCATCGCATGGTTTTGGTTACTGTCAGGAACTGGTAAGAAAGAATAGATTGAAGGCGTGATAAGATCACTCTCCTTAGAGTGTTATTTGCCCCCACTACAAATTGCTGGTAGGCTCGAGCAAACCACCCCCAGGAGTCCCTTCAATTTTAAGTATGGAAACAGCAATCTTGCAGACTTCTGTGTTTATGAAATAGAGAAGGAAAACGGGAAGAAGAAGTAATCTCTCATCATTAAAAGAGTTATGACAGTAATCTATTTATAGTTGTGAAAACTGGAAGTTACCTTCCGAAGAGTCACATCCCTTCATAGAAAAGGTAGTTATCTTTATGGAAGGACATATCCTTTCACAAAAAAAGGGAGTTACCTTTATGGAATGACACTTCTTTTCACAATATTCAAACGTTAATTAATTAATATAAAATTAATTAAATAATTAAATTGCCAAAAAACTCCATCTTTATAATTTACTTCTCCCATCAATGTCGTATTACAACTCTATTGACTAACTCTAACAGTTACAAGTTTTTCGAGTAAGATCGGTGAAGGGTTTAAGACTGACCTCTTAAAATTTTGTATATTCAGCTTTTAAGATTCAAGTCATCCTTCTATTCTCGATTTGGTCTGATTAATAAAACATCACTGGATAAATAATGTTCTTCATTTCCTTCTTCCAAATCTTAGAAGGTGGTCATTAATTAAAAACACAATCCAAGAACTTAACTCATCATTGGGTTAGCTTAAGTACTCTTTTTTTTCCCCTCTCTTGATGCATTCTTGAATAATTCTTATATATAGTCTTCCTATACGTCAAAACTCGAATCTTAAAAAGCCTTCTTTAATTAATATGCTATTGTTCATTAGAAGGCGAGTAATGAAAGACAGAATTATATATCAGAAGAGCTACAAAATCTCTATCATTGGTATTTCGCTTCCAAACTTCATCTAGCATGAGGGAGAAGCTATATGTCTGTGTATGGAAAGTATCTGCACATAATATAATACAACGAAGGGAAAAACGGGAGCCCCATTTTAAATTTCCTGCAACGAGAGTGAAAGTAGGAAGGACATTTTGGTCTTCACAATTACTTTTTTTTATTCATTAAAAAGACACGTATTGGGATTCGAACCATGTCCATTTTAAAGAAAAGCAAGGAACATAACCAATCACACTAAGTACATTTGTTGTATCTTTTTAAATAAAAAACATATAATAGCAGGGAGGAAAAACCCCTTCCCCCCATTTCAAATTCCCTGCTCCATGAGCGTTTGTAGGAAGGGTAGAATAGGCAGTGTTAATTTTTTTCTCTTTCCTCTGTGGAACGGGCCAACTTACCGTACACATGCGGATTTAAACGGGTTCAGGAGTGTCAATTTTTTTCTTTAAGCCCTTGTATTTCTCCGTGGTGATAAAATATATATGAAAAGGCAAAAACAATACTTCTTTTTATGCTAAAAATAAAAAAAATTTAACAATAAACTAATGCATGGTATCTAAAGGGCTAACCGCTAACCATAAAATAAAAGAGTTGAATGAGTCTGACCTACACCGGATTTGGCCATCAAGTAAAACAAATGAACATCATTGGTTTGACATTCTAAAACAAGCTATTTTCTCTGGCATAATATATATTATTATATTATTTTATATTTTAGTGGCTAAAATATAATGTAGTTTAAAGTTATTCAATGGTTCAATCTCGACCAACCCAATTAGTCCAATTTTTATCATTTCAAATATATATTATATAATTATTTGATATCATAATGATAAAATTATAGTGTATTTTATAGGGAATCGTTTGGTATTTGTTAGTAAAAAACTAAACAGTATGATCTATTTGGTTATTTTAAACATTAAAACGATCCTAAACATTTTCAGTTTCTTTTGAATTTCTATGGTTTTATTCCCGAATAAGTGATGTGCAAATGGCGAATTGCAGTCATATATTTTCTTTCACTATTTTTTATTTTCAAATAGAAAGTTTAAAAGTAACGAATAATTAGAATTTTGCATGGGTCGGTCAAACAGGCTGAATTTTAAGTTTTGGCCCGTTTTGATCAAGTCTAATTTATAATCACATGGTTCCCTGATACCCGATAAAAATCTCAATCCAAACCAGTTTGGTAGGTGAGTCCGTGTTTACCACCATTCTCTAGGAATACGACAACGGCGGTTCCTATCCCAAATCGTGTTGTTCGTTCGTGATTTCCTTAGATTTTATCATGGCATGACAAAAACCAGAAAGCACAATGACGACAAGATGAAAGTTTTTTAAATCAAATTAATGGTGTTCTCTTTCTGATCTCATGTAATTATATAATGAAGTTGAAGTTTTTCGATGCTATTCAATTTCATTGGTATGTTTTTAATGGTCTAACTTCATGGTTGTACCAACTTTTGATGTACTGTTTATGTTCCAATATATTCACTTTGGTATGATTATTAGGGATATGCTAGGCGGTACTCACCATTAGACCAATTTAGCTTAATGGTTGAATCTACGGGTTATCCCAATAATTCAATATTCGGCTCAGCTCCTCCGACCAACGGGTCGGGTTACAAGCTAGTTTTTACGAAAAGGGAATAGTATATTGATCAAGATGTACAATGTCAACACAACATCAATAAATTAATTAACAAGTTAAGCTAACTAAACCCTACTTCACTTTACACGCACATGCAGGAAAATGATACTTCTTTTAACAAATATATATATATTTATTTACAGAAATTATTTAATCATTTCTTCCAACACACGTGGCAATTTATAACCCTTATATATATGTATATATATATATATATACTTGATCAATGCAATGGACAAAATGGGGAATGCAGGTACCAAACAACATTATTTGGGCATGCATTTTTCATTCCACCATAACTTTCCCAACTACCAACTCCAACTCTCTCTCTCTCTCTCTTCACTCTATCTACCAAAACGACACATCGATCCCCACTTGATCATTCCCCTTTTTTCTGTGGTGAAAATTGGAAAACCCCAACACAGATCCTTCTCGATCCAGACTTATTGAGTTTATTGTTTTGCCGTTTCCCTACCAACTGTGCTAGCTCTCCCCACGCTTTTTCCCCCTCCAGCCTTTTATGTGGCTCAAATTATACGTTCATAATAGTTCATATATAGAATCACCCACCACCAAAATGATCGATATCGCGCTGCATTTCCATGGCTGTAAGGCGAGCTTCGTCCCGCTCCACCACCACCGGCCTGGCCGGCGGGGTAATATATCCAACAACAATAATAATGCATGTAAAGTGAAAGCATGCCGGGACCGTACGTAGTGCGGGTCGCGATCACAATCTATAGCCGTAACACAGAGTGAGAGATTTGGGCACTGTGGTTTTTGCCTTACTTCCGCCGTCGTCTAGCTCGCCTCCACGTCCCGGAAACAAGAGGCTGTGGTTGTAAATCTGTGTATATATACCAGAATACTATTTGCTGGGAGTCTGGGACTGGGAGTGATGATAACATATTCTGTGAGGGGGCGCAACAATGGTGTCAGACCTGGCTAACACGTAGTACTATTAAAAGCATCGTCCATGAAACCGTACCGGAGACTGATACCGGAAAGGTCAGCGATGTGGTATTTTATGGTAAAATCATGGTTTAATCGTAGTTCAATCGTAGTACCGTTAAATACCACCTATTGATTTAGCCTCTAGTACTGGTATTTCGTGATTGAACCGTCGGTACGGTACGGTACGGTTTCATTGACCTGCATGTTTAAAAGACCTTTGAAGTTGGTCGAAGAACGTTGAAGTACTCTTTCGGTTTAACTCTAGGGTTCATTGATACCTTGCTAAACACTGATATGTATGAGAGCGTTTATACTTTATAATTAGTCTTTTTTTCGCCAAGCATGCAATAGTTTGTGAAATAATCGAGGCTGATGATCTGACCCAAAATGATACCATCATGATATTAATAGTCTTCTAAGCAAATCTTAACGGTCGCGTTCTTAAGAAAATGTGTTGTTTATTGTCCCGTCTTCATACACCTTTGAAATGAGCTATCCACTTGGGGAGTCGATTTGGTTTGATTAACCGATCCGAAACCCAATATATACTTTCTCCTCAAAATCGGGAAAAAAAATCGTTAAGCCTTAACGAGTTCGGTTAGAACAAATGGAAACTCTTGAAATATTCGTAATAATTTTGGTCAGAGCAAGGATCGAGCTCGGTTTCTTATCAATTTTTCGGTTTAAAGTAAACTGATACGAATATCGTTAAAATACAAAACTATTCGAAACCAAACATCAGACACTGATATATAATATTCTTATTGGTACGGTTTCGGTTATAAATCGGAAAACCAACCCAATTTCCCAGCCCTACCTTTGTATATCACAACTATTATCTATTGCCTTGGATATAATATATGTTTTAGCCTTCACGGGGAGAGGTGGGAAATTATTGGACCACAGTCCACAGTTCTTGAAACTGGCCTGTAGATTGTAGTAGGGGAAGTGGGGAGCCTGCTAGTTGAGAAATGCAAGTTGGGGGAAGTGGCTTTCTTTTAGGTATGTAAACTGGCAAATGGTTTGTCAGGCTTTGCATGGTTATTTGTTGGAACCACCAATGGGTGTACTGTACTATAATAATCGAAGAGCCACTCCCCAGCCTCAGCCTGTACTGTACTTCCCTAGCTAGGAATTTGGAGCCCCATCTTTTCCACCTACATTCCCCTCTCTCGGTCTCTTCATATCAATCACGATTTAACCCGCACTACTAACCATCGAATATGGTAATCCCATTCCAAATCGAGCTACTACTAACCACTAGCAAGTAGTAAGATATGATATAAAATTATTGTTATACTTATACAATATGTATCGTACACTTTAGTTCATCTCCAAATTAATGATAGTTATAACAATTTAGCAACGGGTCGTTTGGATGCATCATTTTGGTTCTATGGTATTTCGAATCCAAATGATGCATTATTTTGCTATGTGGCATTTCATGTGGTATTTCATTTTGAAATGTGGTAATTGGTGTAATTGCCTTGTTTGGATAAAACAATCCAATATTGTGGTACTTCACCACTTAAAGAAGGGATGAAGTGGAAAAAGAAGTTGGGAGATGAGGTATTTGAAATAACTAGGGGGTGGGTAGGTAATTTCAATTGACTCATGGACAAAATACCACATTCTACTTGATTTTTGCCAAACGAGTTATTTTGATTGAAATACCTCATTTTGAGTTATTTCGATCAAATTACCTAATCCAAATACTGCATCAAAACGACCCGCAAAATAATTGTTACTATGTACGCGAATGAATTAAACGGACTAACCACACTATTTTGCTTCAAGTGAAGCCTGTTCTCCCATAAAAAAGAAAAAAATGTGAAGCCTGTTCCTTCCAGCCCATGATGATGGACGCGAGTAGAACTGGACCTTTCTAACGGCCTTGTTGAAGGTTATTAAAACACAGTCTTATTGGGCCAAATCGCGGCACGAATTCTCTGGAGGCAATTTTAAATTAGAGGATTTTATTTGCATCGGTGGTGCCAAAAAGAAACGATTTTCCATTTATTTTTTCCCCAAACTTCAAATGAATCCAATCGCTCAGCTTTTTGTCAGGCAGATAGACGGGCAGATCTATCGCCGGACATGCTCTTCTCTTCTCCAAACAATCCGTAACAGAAAAAAACATCCCCCATTCCCCACGTTCTCTACCTCTCTCCAACAACAATGGCGGCAATGGCCGACTCCGGCTTGGATCTAGGAGTACGATCTCTCATTTCCTTCACTCTCCCTTTACTTTACTTTGCTCGATTGCTGAAGCTTCTCGTCTTCTCTCTAACTCGCTCTTTCTCTGCCGCAGTCTTCCGCTTCATTCTCCTTCTCCGGCGGGTGAGCTTTCTGTTACTGCCTTCTTTTGAATTGGAGTCAAGTTTTAGGGAAATGGCGCGACGTTTATACCTTGTGATTATCGTGGCGGTTTGTGTATGGTTTTTAGGGAAAGCAGGTTTGCTGATACTGGGAATTTGGAACACTGCGCCAAGTACTTGAACCAGACGCTTGTTACATTTGGCTTTCCTGCCTCCCTTGATCTCTTCGCTACTGATCCGGTTGGTTGAGCGAGCTACTTGTTTGTTTGCTTCGGTTTGGATTTTGGGTTGCTGCTTGTTTGTGGTCTGGCTGATTTGAAAGAGAATTGGGCTTCACCTGGTTTTAGGTTTCGATTGCTCGGACGTGCAATTGCATTTACTTTCTGCTCCAACAGAGGCAGCGAGATATTGAGTTCAGAGAGTCTGCTAATGATCAGAGACAGAGGTGAATTCAGCTTTCTTTCTGTGTTTTTTTAGATCACAACTTGATTGTAAAGATATGCCATTGCGGAATTTGTGAGGAATGTGCTTCGATTGATTTATTAGTTGGTTGTTTGATATGTAATTCAGATTCGCTAAAAAACTTCAGTGAAACTTTTTAAAATGTGTATTACTTGGGTTGTTAGGCTGTCGTCGGATATATCAAGGTTGGAAGCAAAGGTTGAGAGGCTTGAAGCACAGCTACAAGTGAAGGAAAGGGAAATTGCTACAATTACCAGAACGGTTAGAATTTTTATTTTTTATTTATAACTTTCTTGGAGGCTTAGCTTGTCAGCATGATTGGTTGATCAAGTATTTGATACATGGAGGGTAATGGATGCAGGAGGCTAAGGCTGCAGCAGCCTTCAAGGCCCAGATTGAAAAACTTCAGCAGGAAAGAGATGAATTTCAAAGGATGGTGATTGGTAATCAGGTTAGGGACATAAGGCTCATTTCATTTTCTGGCTTCTATTTTGGGTTACTGTTAGGAAATTACAGACCTTGACAGAAAGACAATTTTGGTTGTACCCGGATGCTATTACAGCAAGTGAGGACTCAACAAATTCATGAAATGAAGAAGAGAGAAAAGGAGTACATAAAGCTACAGGTTGGTTCTTCTTCTTCTGTAAATAGGTCTAGATCGAAAAGAGCGAAGGGTTGATTTTTGTTTGTAAGATTTGAGGTTATACCCAGCGGAACTGAATGATTCTTCTGCCCTGTAGGAGAAGCTAAATCAAGTTCTGATGGAGAAAAAGAAGGAATCAAGGTCTGGCATGGAGATTATGAATTTGCTTCAGGTTGCAACTTGATCATCATTGTGCACTCCATATTGTTTTCCTTCTTATCCAAGTGAGATGCTTTGTTATGTTACATAACCTATATGATGTCCCTAACAGAAAGAAGGGCGGCAGCGAGGTACTTGGAATGGAAAGAAGACTGATACTGACTTCTATAAGAAAATTGTATGCAGAGTGACTTACGTTGAGTGTTTCTTGACCTACATTGGTAGTTTTAATGGTTTAATTAACCAAATGCGTTTTCAGGTTGATGCATATGAGGCTAAAAACCAGGAACTGATGAATGAGAATAATGACCTGAGGGCATTGTTACGGTCAATGCAGGTTCATTTTTTATCTCCATTTCTTACCGATATTGTGCTAGGTTACTCTATGACCACAAGTCTCATCACTCCCACACCATATTTGTATAAATGGCTCATAAGTTATGTAAGCTTGCAACTTTGGATGCCCCATGAGCCTAAAGAGTGAATGTTGGGTAGACTGGTGAAAGAATCATTTTTCCAGCAGTTTTATATAACTCGAGGCCGCTCTCACTATCACCCATTGTGCCCTGTTTGAGATGAACTTGCTTTCTAGTTACTAGTAAGTGTGTGCATCAGCTTGCTAAATTTATGGTTGTGGATTGCATGCAGACTGACATGCGTGATTTCATCAATGCTCCAAACGGTTCGTCCAAGCAGTCTTTGCCAGTCAATGACCGACCTGAAGTTGACCCTACACAGTCTCCTTTGGGAGGAAGGACGGTATGGTAGCTTTTTAACAATGGTTTTTTTTAGAGTTTGTTGTCAATCACAGCTGTTGATATAATTGAAAGGTTTTTCAGGATCTGTTTGATATGCCTTTGCACATGGCTAGGGATCACATAGAAGAAAGCCTTCGAAATAAGATGGCATCCATAAAGGTTTCTACCATTTTGTAATTTGAATTTATCGTCGATTTTGTTATGTGGGTGTTGCAGCTGGAAGATATTGATGTCTGTTTGCCTTTGCTTTTGAAGGAGCGCATGGTCGAATTGCAAGATGCACAGAAGGAAGCAGAAGTTACGTCAGAAGCTACTGAGAGAGAACTTGAGCTCGAAGCTCAACTTGTTGAGGCCAGGAGCATAATCCAAGAGCAGGTATCAATCTTCTTTTCGTCTACGCCTGATACAAAATTATGGATCTATGGTACCCACCTTCCTGTTGAAAAATGTGGGACAATTCCTTTCACTTCTAAGCTTGCGCTAAGCATCTTTTGCTGCCCATGAAGACTAGACATCAAGAATCTTTAAATGATTTGTCGATTCTAACTGCAGGCATCCCTCATGTCTAAACATCTTCCTAAGTCCGACAGGCCGCCAAGGTAAATTCCACAACCCCCTCGCCCCCAATTTTCATTTCCTTTCACTTCCATTAAACAAAATGCAACACTTCTATTTCTTTCTCTCGATCCACGATTTGAAAATGGCGATTCTCGTATTTTCTCAACAGGGAAATCATCACTCCGTCCCCAACTGAGGTACCTTACATCTCCCTTCTCTGTTCTATCCAGTTAAACTAGATCAAGATCAAGTGATCAACGCAATGAATGTACCCCTGACCTTCATTTCTGTTCTGATACTCTCTTTATGTAGAAAAGCTTAGGTTGAAGAAGGATGAATCATGAGAGGACCTCCAAAAGCTTATTCCTAAGTCCAATCGCCAGCCACCTTGATTATTATCTGGGGACTGGTAGATTCCATGATCTAAAGAGTAAGAACGAAGAAGGGAGCAGTCGAAATGTTATATAATTCTGATTTAACCATACTATGCTGTAATTTTCAAGACCTAGATTAAGGTTGTAGTTGTTTAACTTAATGTGTAACCCCCTGTGAGTAAATGAAGTTTGTTAGTTCAGCAGGAAGTATATCTCTCCTCCATTCAAATCTCGTTATGTGTATTAAGTTACCCTTTGTTAATGGTAATCCGATGACTTATGTTAAGTTAATCACATTTCCTTGTCTCACATTACAGCTAAATCGTTTTAAATTTAAACAGAATCATTTGAGTCCAAATATAGTGGACTAGTGGTTACTTCTCCCTAATCTCATTCCGAAAAAGTAAGTTTACTTAACGGAAAAAGATAAAGAAATTAACCAAAAAAAAAAAAAAAAAGAAATTACGAAGCTAAGGCCCAAGAAGGCCCACGGCTCACTGTTTTACCGGTAAATGCCGCATATCGGTTTAGTCTCCGATATTGATATTTCGTGGTTGAACCGCCGGTACAGTACGATTTAATGGACACTGGATTGACTTGACTACTCATTGCGCGCCAGATTCTCGTCTCGTTGTAACAGTTAAAACGGCATCGTTTCCGTTCCTTGCTGTCAAGTAAGTATGACGACGAAGGCAACTGAGATCTCCATTCATTCCATCTCCCTCCCACGGTTCCAAATCTTCCGATGCGCCTTCTCCATTTTTGCTGTTTCGCCTAGCTGGGATTCCAAATCTATGGTACCGCCATTGTAAGTCTGAAGGAGGAGATTGATCTTTACTCTACTAGTCCGGTGCTCGGCCAATTGTGCGGGGTTTTTTCGGTGACTCGCATCAATGAAGGAAATTGCCGTTGCGAAGCCGCAGGTAAGACTCCTTCCGGACGAATCACTGGGGGGGGGGGGGGGGGGGGGGGGAAGAACAATTCTGGATCGTTGACCTCGTAGTTGCGATTCTTACTCTTTTTGCTTGTCGAATTGGCAGACTCCAGGGGATGGAGCTGATAGCGGGAGAAGTGTGTTTGATTTGGGCGCATTCGTAGGTGATTTGACTGCTCTGGATGACGATGCCAGCAGGTGACTGATTGAATCACTTTCGCTTCTTGCTTTTTTTTTACTTAGTTTGGAAATCAGGGGGGAATTGGTTTTTTAATGTGGTTGGTTTTGCTTAGTGATGAAATATCGCTTGAAGGGTTGGAGCAGGAGCTGGAAGAGTGCAAAGGCGATGATGTAAGTTACTTCACTGTAAAGGCATCTGGTCTCTGTATGATCTATGGTCTGAAACATCGTTCTTGTCAAGTGTCCATAGTTGTTGGGTAGTTGCAGGTTGAGAAGATATATGATGGATGGTCTTCACATTTTTGTGATAACTGATAAACATCTAAGTTCGCTTTTTTTTTTTTTCTCCGGTCTCCTAGGTGGTTGAGAATATTTTGTCCAAGGGTACAAAGCTGAGGGAGTATACAAAAGGAGTTGAGAACAATCTGCGGCAGGTTGAATTGGATTCGATTCAGGTTCGCTCTTTCTTCCCTCATTTCTTTTGCTTGGTGGGCAGTCATGGATTGTTCAAGGGATGTAGTGATATATGTTACTATAAACTTGCAGGATTATATAAAAGAAAGTGACAATTTGGTGTCTCTCCATGAACAAATTCGTGACTGCGACAGCATCTTGTCACAGATGGAGACCCTCCTCAGTGGGTTCCAGGTATGTTGGTTGGACTATTTTCTTTTGCTATACTTCTGGCTTCAGTTTAGATTCTTAGGTAGCGATGGAACTAGAGAACAAGTTATGGTGTTGAGTTTTTCCTGATCATCTGTGAAATTTGTTCTTGTTTTTGGTAGACTGAGATTGGTTCTATTGGTTCGGACATAAAAATTCTTCAAGAGAAGTCTATGGACATGGGTCTAAGGCTGAAAAACCGGAAGGTATTCGTTTCATAGGACATGTTCTATTGGAACTCCTTCAATTTTTATTGGAGTGACTATTTCTTTAGTTGGTCAAAGAGATTAAGCTATATAATCTTTGTTTTCTGCTTCTTGATGAACAGGTTGCTGAATCAAAGCTAGAAAAATTTGTCGAAGACATTATAGTCCCACCCAGAATGGTTGATGTGATTATTGACGGAGAGGTATTTATAGCTTCTTGATTTATAGATGTTCTTTCTTTTCTGGATCTTGTGAGAATTTCCTTATTACTAAATTCTTTCCTAGAAACAGGCAGCATCTTTTAGCAAATTGTTTTACGTGTGTCTTTTAAATATCTAAGAAATCTGTTATACTGTAAAAGTTGCAATCTGATGCTGGTTTCTGTGTTTGTTTGCATAATAATGCATACTTTTTAATGTACGTTGTAAATCATGTCTTTATATGTTCTGACATACTTGCAGTGGGATTTTTATGCAGGTCAATGATGAGTATTTGAGAACTCTCGAGATGCTTAGTAAGAAGTTGATTTTCGTTGAGTCCGATTTGTTGATTAAAACTTCTAAAGCTCTGAAGGATGTACAGCCTGAGCTTGACAAGCTGAGGCAGAAAGCAGTGTCCAAGGTAATGGATGTGTCATTGTGTGTACACCTTGTTGTCCTTCAACAGGATTCGTTGGAGAATTAACGTCGCTAACTGATGCTTATCTCTTCCTCCAGGTTTTTGATTTCATTGTTCAGAAGCTTCAAGCTCTGAGAAAACCTAAAACGAATATCCAGATCCTTCAACAAAGTGTTCTTTTAAAGTACAAGTGAGTTACATCTCTGGCTTTGGGTGGACGCCTCTAATGAATTATAGGGCATGATTAATTATGTTCTCTCATTTTTATCCTTAAAATGGTGGTACTTTGTGGTAGAAATCAGCCACTTCAGTGAACTATTTGCGTCAATTGATGTCTTGCTGCCGCTTCTATATCAGTGTCTTATAAGCATTTGCCTCAAATTTTAGGTATGCCATTTCCTTTTTAAAAGAGCATGGCAAGGAGGTGTACACTGAAGTTCGCGCTGCGTACATTGACACAATGAACAAGGTGGTCTAATCTGTCTCGTATATTTCATAGGATCATGGTACCTGTACCAGTATAATTGCAGTCGGGGAAGCAAGGTCCTAAGTTCTATTCCCGAGCTTTGAGTTTTTCAGGTTCTAAGTGCATGTTTCCGTGCATACATTCAAGCGCTGGAGAAACTACAGTTAGATATAGCAACTTCGAGTGATTTGATTGGTGTGGAGACCAGAAGTACTGGCTTGTTTTCAAGAGCCAGAGAGCCGCTGAAGAATCGATCAGCTGTTTTTGCTGTGGGAGATAGGATTAACATCTTGAAGGTAAAGATACTTCTCCCTTGTTTTTTTTTCCATACCAACTCTCTCTTAAGCTACTTTATTTCTATACTGGGTTCCCAGACTTATTCCTAAAGATTCGTGGCATTATTATAGATACTTCATTTTTTGAACTCATGCATCACTCCTTTGATAGCATAAAAGCAAGTGTATGCATGGCAGAGATTAGAGAACATTATTTACATGTCAACCTTGTCTGGCTTATCCTGTTAGTCTGTACTGAAACTTCTTATATTTATTGGTGCATAATGTGGTTTTGCTTGAGCCTCCTTCTTGGTCCCTTGAAACCTTTGCTATCAAAATTTGAAACCTTCCCTGACTTCAATTACTTTTACAGGAAATTGAGCAGCCAGCATTGATTCCACATATAGCTGAAGCCAGTTCCCAGAAGTATCCTTATGAGGTCCTCTTCAGGAGCTTACACAAGCTGCTACTGGATACAGCCACTTCAGAGTATGATGGAATAACTTTCAGATACTTGTTCCTTCTCATTTTCCCTTGCTGGCAGTGTATGGATTTTGATTTTCTCCTCGTCGTGCAGGTATCTTTTCTGTGATAACTTCTTTGGGGAAGAGTCCATGTTTAATGAAATATTTGCTGGTAACAGAGAAAGATATTGGATGCCTGCATATAATTATCGATGCTGCCTAAATATGCATAGCATAATGCAACTGTTGATTTTGTCTCTGGATTTCTTAGGTCCTCTTGCTGCGATTGATGAGCACTTCAATTCAATACTGCCAAACAGTTATGATGCAATGGGCCTAATGCTAATGATTCGTATCATACATCAACATCAGGTGACGGTCCCTGCAAGCCTTTCTGCTGATGACTACCAGTTTGAATTGGCCATGAATTTCATTCTTCTACTGCTGAATCCTTTTTGTTTTATTTTTCAGCTAATTATGTCTCGGCGCCGAATTCCCTGTTTGGACTCATATCTTGACAAGGTTAGTTATCTTTATTTGAGCACCAGTTGGAAACGAAGTGCTATCAGTGAAGTGGCTTGTAGATTTTAGTAAATTGTGACGTCCACCCTGAAGAGTTTTTCTAAAACATTAGATTGATGAAGTGCGTACGTTTCAGTTTTTAAACAAGCTAATTGTTTATATGAAACAAACATGCCCATAATATATTTGAGATGGGCAGGTTAATATAGCATTGTGGCCCCGTTTCAAGCTCGTGTTCGACATGCACCTTAGTAGCTTGAGGAATGCTAATATAAAGACATTGTGGGAAGATGATATCCATCCTCATTATGTCATGAGGCGCTATGCTGAATTCACTGCTTCTCTTATTCATCTCAACGTCGAATATGGAGATGGGCAGGTCAGATTATTGCTTTCTTCCTCCTCTTCCAATTTTCGGGATAAGTGCTTACAGCCTCTAAGATCTTTTATATATATGCAGCTTGAATTGAATATGGAAAGGCTCAGAATGGCTATTGATGACTTGATTATCAAGCTTGCTAAAACATTCACAAAACCAAAACAACAGATTGTGTTCCTTATAAACAATTATGACATGACGATTGCTGTAGTCAAGGTATGAATGATGAATCCGTGTTGTACTTGTTAAAAAAACGAACTTAACATAGTTTGCGATTTCAGTTTGAAGGAAAGTTCATATTTTAATTCTTGTTTACTTTGCCCTTAATGAATTGCAGGAAGCAGGCCCTGAAGGCGGGAAAATTCAAATGCATTTTGAGGATCTGCTGAAGAGCAATACGACTTTGTTCGTGGTAAGCATGATTCACAGAAATACAATACTTTGTGCAAGGGAAATAAGTCGGTTAAAGTATTGCTGGTGCATGGTACATCATCATCTATTTAAGGGAACAATGAAACTGCACTTTTAGGAAGAAGCTTAAACCTGGAAAAATCATGCACTCCATAACGTCTTTGGTTGTGCCCTACCTCAATGTCAAAGTGCTTTCTCGGCTTTAGCTTTCTTCTTACATATCTCTCCTTGCAGGAGGAGCTCCTTATGGAGCATTTTGGGGACCTAATCAAGTTCGTCAAGACTCGAGCTTGTGAGCATTTCAACCATATGCAAGTACAAATATTAACATTCCCTTCAACAATCATCTCTTTATTGCTAATTGTTTTTATGAAATTTTTTCTCAGCTGAGGACCCAAATTCCCATCAAGATAAGCCCCTAACTACCTCAGAAGTCGAACCACTCGTCAAAGACTTCGCCAGTCGGTGGAAAGCAGCGATCGAGCTGATGCACAAAGACGTTATCACGTCATTCAGCAATTTCTTGTGTGGAATGGAGATCCTGAGGGCTGCACTGACCCAACTCCTCCTTTACTACACTAGGCTATCCGATTCCATCAAGAGAATCACTGGCGGATCGGCTCTCAACAAAGATCTCATCTCCATATCCTCCATCATGTACGAGATCAGGAAATACTCCAGGACTTTCTAGACCGTCTTGCATTGCGTATCAAAACCAGCTGAATTCTAAACCCCCATGAAACCGGTATGGCTGAAAGGGAGAGGAATCTAGCTGAGGAGAGTTGTTGTGCTAAGAGAAGTCATTGAATGATGTAAGTTGATGCTGAATGATTGTAAGGAAGCATATCCATTATTTGCATTTTTTGTTGTTTAGGTACTATTAAAGGCATTCGAACCTGATTCATTCTGCTGCACAAATAGTGGTATCACCACTAAACGAACCTCTTATACGTTTTTGCTGACTTACTCCAGAAAGAAGCATGTTATCTATCTAAAAAAAAAAAAAAATTATATACTTCGAATTTTCATCCTGTTTTGCCTCGGCACTAAGGAATTGCTTGTGAATCGTTTCTCTATTATTCAAGATCTTACTCAAAACTATTTTATCAAATGTCATGGAAGCGATGACTTCGTAATATTAGTTGGTATATTTTTATGAGTTATAGGTATAATATGCACTTATACTATGCACTTTTATCAAATATGCCCTTGTGCTATTTTTATTATCAAACATCCCCTGTAGTATAAATTCATCATCAAATATGCCCCTCCGTTATAATTAGCGGCTGAACTTTAGGTTGTCTTCTTCTACAACTTAGAATGCCATAATAGGGTTTAGGGTCCCGCTATGATTTCTAGGGAAAGCCAACTGATGGAATGTGGACAATGCAGGAGATAATAAATATACGGTGGCTGAATTTGCCGCCGTCGGATGGACGACAAGGGGTTGGCGACAATGGAATCGGGAGGAAGATGGGACGTGAACAGAACGGGAACGGGGCTGCAAGCAGATGGTTGAGTTCTCGAAATCAAGCTGAAGAGTAACTGAAAAGGTTTAAGATAAAGAGAGGGGCATTTTCGACACTTCCCCCTCCTATCAGGTCGCCCAAACCGTGGTTTGATCTCGGTTAACGGTTTTCAGCCGCTAATTATAACGGAGGGGCATATTTGATGATGGATTTATACTACAGAGGCATGTTTGATAATAAAATAGTACAAAGGCATGTTTGATAAAAGTGCATAGTATAGGGGCATATTATACTTATAACTCTATTCTTATTGTACGATATGTATATCATAGCTTAGTTTGGCCCTGTTGTAGCTTTTGCAGAAGCAGCTTCTGGCTGGAGCTTTTAGATAAGTACTTTTAAAAAAAAGCAGTTGAGTGTTTGGCTGTAAAACTATTAGAAGTGCTTTTTAATATAAGAGGTTGTGTAAAATGACTATAAAGGACTTATAATATAAAATATGAATAAAAATTCTAAACAATAAAAAGTAGTCAAAATGGATCTTGTTAGATTTCTTTTATATTAAATAATATGATTTTATAATTTATTTTATTTTTAAAATGATGTAAATGATGAAAAATTATATTTTCTGAAATAAAATTAAAATATGGTAAGGATAATATTGTATTTTCAAAACAGCTTTTCGCAGAAGCTCCAAATTGGAGCTTCTGCTTTTATGTTATACAAAAGCACTTTTTGGTTTTTCAAAAGCCGAGCTTTTATAGGGGTTTGGCACTGCTTCAGCTTTTGAACTCGCAAAATCACTTCTAAAAGCCGGGCCAAACATAGGGCATGTATTTCTAGCTTGCATATTTTTCCTATTATGCTTTGTATACTTTAAGATATTATTTTGTTATATTTATATAGTTAAAATTAGAAAAAGGCTAATAAAAATGAGTGAAGAAAAATTGCAGGAGGGAAAATGATAAAAGGAGGAGTTATTGGGGTTCAAACAACTCGTTTTTTACTAAATAAGGGTTGGAGCGTCCTTTAATATTTCCTGTTAAGGGTTTTGTGTGTTTGAGAGATAGATAGAGGCGGCTGGGAGAGGAAATTAAGAACAAGAAAAAATGAAATTTAGTTAATTTTCACAATGATATAATTATCTTTATCACTAATTGTTTCAGATGGAATTTCACGTGACCAATGCACCCCAATTCAAAAAAATAGAAAATGATGTTACTCGGTTCACACCTCTTCAAACACTGTTCGAACGAGGGTGTTCGATGCATACATCAAAGGAACTGTCTACTTTTACCTCTACTCCTATGGAGATTCCTTGAGAGCTCCGCAACTACTGACTACAACTAACAGAGAAGCCTCATTGGAGGGTCCCTGACGCTACTGCTACGGTTATTGTTCTAGAGAGAAAAAATAATTTTTGACGAGACTTCTTGTGATTTGATTTGTCTATCCCTTCTCCAGAGTTTTGCTGCAAGTTTTGTTGTGTCTCGCCCTCTAACCACCTTCTCTCTCTCTTCTTTGAAATCAGCTCTACGTAGCATCCAGTAACTCCTCCGAGCGTCCTTTGCAAGTCAGCTGTTGCTTCTGGTAACCACCTTCAAAACGTCATCATGTCCCTGGACAATCAATCCTACGTACCATGGATGAACAATTAGATGGTCACCATACACCAAATAACATGGATGGTATCCATGTTGTTGGATGGCACCATCCACTTTGAGTTTGGATGGTGTCCATCATATTTGGGATGATGTCCTGATCTTGGATGGTACCATCCATCATAGGGTTTAGATAGTATCCATAATGTTGGACACTACCATCCATTATTGGATTTGGATGGTATCCATTATATTGGACACTACCATCCATTAATCCTATGTCCCAACTTGATAAATTGGACCATCAATGTACACATGGACCAACTACTTAAATTGGCCAAGTTGTTCACACAAGCAATAATTAATGAAAATTATTTTTGGTGTAGACAAATGCACCCCACAACTTAGTTTATAAGAGCTAATTATTATGAACTAAGTTGTTGACACCAATTGCTCCATAGACCAAACCACACAAATCAACCAATGGCATGCACATGGTATCCATGATATTGGACACTACCATCCATTAATCCTACGGCCCGACTTGATAAATTGGACCATCCATGTACACATGTACCAACTACTTAAATTGACCAAGTTGTTCACACAATCAAGAATTAATGAAAATTATTTTTGGTGTAAACAAATGCCCCCACAACTTAGTTTATAAGAACTAATTCTTATGAACTAAGTTGTTGACACCAATTACTCCATAGACCAAACCACACAAATCAACCAGTGGCCTGCACAACCCCCAATCACATAAAGAGTCTCCTTCCTTCATGGCCAAGTCAACCATGACAGTAATTTATCTCACTTCCAACTCTAACTCGGCCAAAGACACCAATTTTATTTTTTATTTTTCACTTATTCGACCATGAGAAAGCTAAGCAAATTAGTTAGTCCCAAACCACCAAAGAACATGGCTTTAATAATACTTTTTTCCTTTTCTGATAAGGAACACTAATTCTTTTTCATGTAGAACACATCTTCTTAACCCATATCCTACTAGTAAAAGGAAACTCATTCTTATAAGGACACAACTAATTTTCTTCTCAATAAATTGATGCTCCCATCCATCATAATTCACAACTCAAAAGTTCCACATACCTTCACAAGCGGGACAATGCTTTCCAAAGACAACTCCACCGTCCCGTCCCAGGTCACCAATCTGAATTCTCCAATCCTCGCCAATATATCTCCAAGTTGCACCTCCTACGGCTCCCACGCTTGTGTCCCTACTCTACACACACGTTGCCATCCATTGCTGATTTGGATATTGTTCCTTTCCCTGAACAACACCATCAAAAAAATTGCTTCACCAAACCACTACTACAAACCTGTAAAATCAACACTCAAGATGATTTCATTCCATTTATAAAGTGGGATAGTAGCCATGTCTCGCCGGCAAAATCCAACTATTGACATAAATGACTACTAGGAAGTATGGTAGCCTTGTTGAGATTGGATGGTACTATCCAAATATTGATTTGGACGACTACCATATGACTCGATGCCTCTACCATGACTCGTCATGGCTGGCTTCGCACATGTTGGTTTTGATGTTTTGGAGTCATTGTTGGCTTGCAACTCTCTATTTCGTCCAGCTCGAACATCTTTGTTCAAAACTCTGCGAGCCTGATTTGGCCTCATCTCAGCCTCTCAAAAACCATAAGTGTTCTTGGCTCTAGACATGATATTCATATTTTTGGCACCTTTGTCAGGCCAAATCGACCATGTTGCATCACTTTCCCATAATGGTTGATTTTCGTTGACTACACACTCTCCTGGCGTTGAGAGTGTGAGCACCGAGGTTTGCAGTCTCCACCAACACCTGTGTGGGCATTGGTCTTACCCTCATGTCCACCATTCATGGCAGACTTGCCAGCCCCGGTGTGGCAACTCCATGTCGGATTAGATCGAGCTTGCCCCCCTGTCCACTCAATGGAGTCTTTGGGGACTCTTTACATGGAGGGTTATACTGAGTTATTCCAGCTTTGGCATCATTGATTTTTTCATGTGGTCACCACCTCCATATTGAAGAGAATTTGTGGTAACCCTCATATGAATTTTTCTAGAACATGTGGGATGTGGCAAATTTCTTTGCCACTAACGATGTTGTTTCTCCTTCAATCTTCCATGCGGTGGGATCTCATGCCCCCCTCTTTTCCCCCCAAGCGGTATGAATCCACGAGTATCCACGCCTTGCATGTTCAGGGGGGAGGGGGGGGGGGGAGATTTGCTGCGGGTACACACGTGGTGGCTTCAGGTCAACATTGTTTGGACCTAAACTCATCCCAACATTAACAGGAGCCATGTATGGTCTGGCTTCTGGAATTTTTTGCCGAGCAACACCTTGCACTGGTGGCGGTTTCTCAACATGGATCTGAGATGAAGTGACGTGACTCTCGCCGACATTCACCCTGTGAGGTGTTGGTACGGTGGTTGCCCCCGATGGTGTAGGGTTCACCGGGCGTGGCTGCTCACCTCGACCACCACCATTGGATGGTGGGTTAACGTTTTCACATTCAAGATTTGGAAAGTCTCGACCATCCGAAGACAAAGCCCTGGTTTGTAAAACTGGTCTGTTCAACAATTTCTTAAACTCAACCAAATCATTC